CTGTTTCTGCATCTCCATCGTCAGCAATGGAAAGAATTCGTCGCCCGATGTGCTCAACAGCACGGGAGGAACTAAGTCTAAGTAAGTAATGCCAGGTTTGGTCAAAAAAAAACACCAATCTCCAATCATCAGAGCTTCAAGTTCCAGTAGCGGAAGCCTAAACGACCACGGATAAAAGACAGTGGTTTAGGCCCCCATTTGGATAGCAGTTATTCTCAAAGTAGGAACAGAAATGAGTGGTACCTTGGTGGGCTCCTGAGTTCAGGATACCCGACAGGACGCCCGTTGTTTGGCGAGAGGGCAGAGAGCAAGCCATTCAGCGGACGAGCCGCAGCGCGTATTGCGAATGAGCGTCAAGTTACCAAAAATTTACTATAGTACGTCTCACATCGCAGAATATGCGCTACGACTCGTCCGCTGAACCGGCTGCGTCTCTGACTTCTCGCCGCGCAACGGGCTTCCAGTGGATACCCTTCTGGTGGAGGTATCTCCCCTCAAAACTCTTCACGTCTCGTCCCAGGTGCCTAGCTTCCCTTTCTTCTATGCTTACTCGGTAAAACAACCGAATTATCGCGTCCATTAGAAAATGGGAGTTGCTGACCGTACCTCCCCCCCCCCCCCCACAATGTCCTTCGTGACATGTGCGTTTGGTAGCTGATCCATTAATAAAAACTTCTCTGATATTCTACCTTCAAAACAATTGGAAACGGACTGGTGTTATTGATTTTATGAATTACTGTCTGTTCTTGACTTCCATTGATAAGATATACATCAGGAGTTATTGTAACGGATAGGAATGGCAAAGCCCTGCAAAAATGGATACAATAGCACATTTCAGCGAGAAATGAGGGCTGAAATCGCGGGGTGCGATGGCGGCCTAGTGGCTAGAGAGACCGTATCGCAGTGTTTTTCATGGGTGTGAATTCTCCAGCTCAGACCAACCGGAAGGGTACTGGGTCCCAATTTCACAACTTTGGATGAAATCTAGATGCACTACGCCTCCTGAAGAGCTTTGTGGTGCAAAACTAATTGGGTGGGACACCTTGGTTTTGAGGGTCTCGGATAATCTGAGGCGCTAGTGTAGTTAGGGGACATCGCTATGTGTACTGAGCTGGAGAATTCACAC